CCCACCCTGTCGCGCTCATTCTTTCCACTGAATTTTGCTTGACATTGTATACTTCTAATTGTTAAACCCATAAATACAATGGAAATGTTGCTGGGATTTATATAATATATAGTTTAATGCAAATTGCTATATTTATTTTAGTTACTACATGACATGGATATGCGAGGTAATCTTACCACAAGGTGAGTTGAATCAGATTTTTGTCATTTTCATATCTTCAACCAAACACAGGAATGATGAACCCGTGACATTTTTTACCTCCAACCGAACACAAGAATGAAACCAACCTATTTGTTCGGAACGAGACCATGACATACCATGCCTTTTGGTTCTCAAACCAAACACATTCCAAGGTATCCCAATACCCTGGCTCGACTGCTTGCTCGCTTTGGCGCGATCGACGTGTGTGGATTTGCAATCGCATTCCATCTGAAAATATTCTTCCCGAAGGAAACGACCTATACGGAGTACATGACCGGGCAGCACTCCTCTAAAATCCTCTCCCTCTTGCTCCACGAGCTGCCACCGCACACCATCTCGGGGAAGGCGACCTCGGCAACCGCCTGCCGGACCGCCCCCTCCATGGCCCTCAGGCCCGCACCGACATCGCCGCCCTCCTTGCACAACACAAACAAATGGCTCGCCCTGCCTCCCAGAGAGGCCGTCTCTGTTCTCAGCACCCTCAGCCCGAGGACACGGAACGCTCCGGCCAGACCCAGGAAGAGTCCCGGCCGGTCGTCACAGCTGACGGTGGCACGAATGTACGTGGTCCGGTTGTCGCCGGCGGCGGTGTAGCAATGGACGGTGATCTCGTTAGCCTCCGGAGGGATGGGCGCTGTTGCTTGCAATCGTGTGGTTTCAGTTGCTTTCCTCTTGAGTTCCTTCACTTGGTTCACCACACAAGCTAACAAGGTGGCCTTGTCCATCTGGTCATACAAGAAGATAAATATCAGTATTATTTAGAAATGCTGTTACCAAATTTTCTAGTTTTTCAGGAAAAAGGTGTTTCTTTGAAGAATGAAGTTGTTTCAGCAGCAAATTCAGTTACCCTGTCAACTTGGTTTCAGGGATTGGTTTCGTCCTCTGGCTAACTTTTTTTTCGAAACGGATCTCTGGCTAAGTTTTCAGTATGAACAAAACAAGAAGTGGTCTGACCTGGTTAGCATCAGGGATCATTCTCCTCAGCGTGGCCAGGTGGGTATTGATCCGCTCCCGGCGCCGCCTCTCCGACTCGCTATGGACCTTCAGCGACCTCGCCTCCGTCGCGCTCCTCCCCGACGACGACGACAGCTCCGGCGCGCTAGTGGGAGCCTGGCATGTTGCCATTGGTCTAGGCCACCATTTTCTCCTCACCAATGCGAGAAGCAACAAGTCTCTACTCACTCAGTCGTAGTGGAACACACAAATGATGGATGGAACGAACAATGGACTGCTGCCTGAAACTGAGAAGAGCAACGAGTGTGGTGAACAAAGCGAGGGGATGGCTAAAGGCTAAAGGTAGTATACTAACTAGTGCAGCTGTGCAAGAAGAAGGAAAAGAGCTTGTCTCATTTCTAGCTAGGATGGATGGATATGGCTGCGATAGTGAGGGGATCGCCTCATGATATAATGTGCATGTTTTTCTTATATTATTGAACAATGACAAGCACCACCCCCACTCAAGGACGTTGTTTTTCAACACTGGTTCCCCACCAGGGGTTGCTTCTTTGGACCAGCATGCATGTTATGTCAGTCATCTCGTATCTTGGGACCTGTCATGAGTGCAGAGATCGGCTTGTCATCACTGAATTTTTACTGTCCGATTCACACGTGCAACTTCTTCCTACAAACTGGTTTCGACATTTTTTTTCTTCCTTTTTTGCGGCAAAACTTCCAGTAACAACCATCTATCTGTTTTGATGTATACAACCAAAATTTTATCCAAACCATGCCTAAGAGCATGGTTAATAGTGCACGCAACAACAGATTGTATGAAGTTATCATGTCAGATAAAGCCAATGTAATAGCTCACTCATACAATAGTTACATTATATGTTAATATTGTCATTAATATGTGGCTTACCATTTTTTTCCACAAAGGTTGTTGAACCTTGTGCTACAGCCAGCTGAAATTCAGTCAGATTTTTTTTCTTCTCTTTTCTTTCTTTTCTATTTCAACTAGGCAAATATCTGATATGACATCTTTTATAGCTCGTCTACATCATCCTATTATACTTATTTTAAGAGATCGAAGCCGGTTGCTTATGAATTCCACATTGTGATTGGTATGAGAAATCCCACACAGAACATGATTGACTGCCTAAGTTGTTTGTACGGCCAGCTACTGATGAAATGATTTGGTTGTGTTTTTTTATGCCAAGGATCCAAATCGGTTATAAAGATATACTAAAAGTACAAAGCACTCTAAACATAATAAAAATTACAATCAAGGTCCTTGGACTACCGAACGACCATTGCCGCAGCTAGAATGAGCCACCTACGCATCGATGTGGTCGCTCCCATGCTAGAGCCAGCCTGACCTTGTCGATAGAAACCGGATTTTTTGTGTGCACGCGCCATAAGGACTAGCACGCCGGAGCTATAGTGATCGTCGTTGAACCGTTAAATTGGTCTGAAGAACTTGACACCAATCTTTTTATTGCATACGCTTGACAAGAACCCTAACCTCACGCCCCGATGAGCTGATAGGAATCTACAGGCTTGCCTTCCGGCCCTATAAACCGAGGAAATGTATAGATGTACGCGCAACGTCTGAATTTGTAAAACCATACTATGATGGTACTTCCTTCGTATCAAAATATAAGACGCTTTTTGACACTATGACAATGTCAAAAAACATTTTATATTTTGATATACAGGGAGTAGCTAATTGTGTGCTGTTCATTCAACTCGAGGACGGTGACTCGCAAAAAAGAAAACTTGAGGATGCTGGAAAGAGAGGAGTGTATGGCTAGCCGACACATGGATTGAAGAACAGTAGGCTCTATCCAACAGTGGCTCACAGGGGGAGGATTGGCGTGTAGCGAGCTGCAGCCGCCGTGTGCTTTCACACCCGCACGCACTTTGCGGCCTTCACACAGGCCCCGGCCCCCTCCCGTTGATTGTGCGCACGAGGCTCTTCACGCTGCCTGTTTCTTTTTTCTACTGCCGATGCGGGCGAACAGTCGTGTTCCTGTAGGTTTCGCCCCCACCTCAGATGAGATTCAGAGAAAATCACTATCCGGTCGCGGTCCTGATCCTGCTGTGCACGTGCACCGACGCGCAGTCCAGAAACTAGAAATTCTTCTTCTCGTCTTTCATTCCAAAAAGAAAATGCTCGATCGCCTGTGCTTTTTGACTCGTGATGATGAGGACAGGAGAGGCGCATATTTTACGTTCCGATGTGAAGCTTCGAGTGATGAAGAAGTGATTACCGACTCATGCTGTCAGGCATCCAATATCCAAGCTTGCTTTGGATCGGGTGATTTTGCTTCGGGTCTGCATCGATAGTAATGTGGATCGAAAGCACCGGCCGAAGAAAGGACGCAGATTCTGTTCACCAGGACATCGTAGAACTTACAAGAGGTAATAGCACTGTAGGTCCTTCAACTTGTCTTGTATGTGATAGTTTGGTCTTCAAACTTGCAAAAGTAGATTATTTGTGTTTTGAGTGAAAAGTAAAGAACGGGATAATTTGAATGAAAGATGATCCATCAGTCTTTATTGATGATAGAAGTGGGGTCTTTATACCCAGGCGGAAGTACACATAGTGCTTGGTGGTCAAGTAAACACATAGTTACTTGAGAGCCAAGGAATTACATAGTTGCCTTGAGAGCCAAGAAAGTACATGGTTGCTTGAGAACCAAGTAACCTATCTAACATTTAACTTAATCCTAATTAGCTTAATTAATAAGCAACTATTCTATTCTTAACACTCCCCCTTGTACAACGCCTTGTCTTTGGGACATCCATCATCTTGACAAATTCTTTGAATAATCTTGAATGTCTCCTCCAAAAACCCTGTGGGAAAAATATGAGGAGAATAGTGCAGATATGTTGCTAAAACTCCTTTAAATCCAGTGGGAAAATAATAAAGAGAAAATGATGCAACATATAATGATTATTGTCTCTGGATAACTCATATGAGAAAAACCTTTGAAGAAGGAGAAAAATCATTGATGAGTCTAGAGAACAATTAATATGTCTTGAGTACTTTCTTTAAAAACCTCGATAGGGAAAATAGAAAGTATGACGTATGATCTTTGATAAGATATTGCCTCATTAAAAACCATTATGAGAAACTTTGATAGAAAACTCATAAAGGAAAAGAGTGCGATATGATATGCCATTGAAAACTCCTTTATAACCCAGTGGGAAAATATAAGGAGAAAGTGTATGACATATACGTGCACTTGTGTTTATATTGTCTCGTTAAAAACCTTTATGAGAAACCATTAGGAAAAACTCATAAAGGGAAAAAGAGTACAATATATGCAATCTTAGGGTTGTTAATAGGTTATAGATTTGAGAAATTACTCCCCCTGAACTTTGCAAACCTGGAGAATGTGTAATACAAATTCCATTGATATGATCGTGACATTATGAATAATCCATAGGATTTTCAAAGTATGTTGTTTGCATATTGTTTCTATAATTCGTGAGGATAAGTAATTTTCGAGCAATGTACTTTATAATATTGCTCTTCATATAACCTGTAGTTTTTGAGTAACACAAGTGGCAGCGTCTTGATAAATCAAGTTATGTGATTCTGCTGAATCTCAACCACATGATTTTGAGTGTGGCTAATCATTCTGCTAAGCCATGCATATTTTGCAATGCTTTTAGGTAGAGCAATTATATTAGAGTGATTAGTGGAAGTAGTCGTTAAAGTCTATTTAGATGACTTCCATGAGAAGACTATTCCAGTGAATTCAGTCACCGATATGGCATTGTTGGGATCAAATAAAGAGCCAATATCATTTCATCACATCATGGTCATATCTTTGATTTTCCTGATGGAATTGCCCAAGATTTATTGTGGGCTTGAGATATAAATTAATATTTCTTATATTGACCATGTACCTTTTGTTGGTATGATATATCCACATTGAACTTCTCATATATGTTTTGGATATATGTAGACTGATATGTATTCTTGAGAGAATGCTCAAGTTGTAAACTTGAGCTAAATTTGGTTGAATCCAAATTTCCCGTCTTGAGATGATTTTGTGCATGTTTAGGTCTTGTATAGACATTGATGATGAGGTCATCAATATACACTGAGGTGATGAAAGGAAGTCAAATTGATTCCTTTATTAAACATGTAAATAATCATCATTAATCGAGTAATCCTTTTTAAGAAGGAACTCATTTAGTCGGTAGTACCATATGATTTCCGACTATTTCAAGTCATGGAGCGACTTATGAAGTTTTATACAAAACTTGTTAGGATTTGCTTTTGGATTCGAAAGTATAAGCCCTTCAAGGACTTGATTTTTTTTCCGAAATGAGTGACTCATATGAGTATGTAGCCACTTCATCCATGAACTGCATGGATAATATTTTTTTATTGCCAATGATATTTAGTATCGAAACATAAATCCACCCATACCAAGAGGGTATGTTACATCATAATTGATGTCGGGTCTCTGCGTGAACCCTTTTGCTACAAGCCTCGCTTTCTCACCACCTCGTTGACTTTGTCTATGAATGAGAAGTTTTTAGTATTCCATATGGAAGATACTTATGAGGAGTAGGTATTACTGCGGTAAATACCACTCATTTGTTGAACGAGTGCTATTCTTCGTACTTGCTTCCTTTTATGTGAACCAATATGAGTGCAAGAGGCAATCTACCATGGATTTTGGTTCTGGGCCCAAAAGGTTTTAGCAAATTGAGAAGAAATATATGTCGACAAATGTAGTCCTTAGTTTATATGATCCTGGTGGAATCATTGAAGTTTGTGGATAAAATATTTATTCCTTTTTAACTCCTTGTGATTTCCTACAACAAATGAAGTCAAGGTGTTTCGATGTCCCGACACCAAAACATTTGTGCACATTTATGCCGGGCTTTGGATGATGAGCATCCAGTGAGGTGTCTTTCAACTTGATGTTGAATTACATTTACTGGTTGAGGATTTGATTTCCTTTGTTTCCGCGGAAGCATATGAAAAGTTATATCTCGTCTTGTCAGATTTTCTCCCCCTCTTGCTCTCATTTTGGGGAGAAGAGTGGTTTATCAGGTACCTCCACTCTTTCTCACACTTTACTGCAGGAATATAGAATTTAGTAACACCTTGTTATCAGTAAATGTATATGGCAAATTTGCAATGTGTTGCAAATATA